TTTCCCAAAACCTTATAAGTTTCAGGTGATGTCAAACCATCCTGGAAGGCCGACATATGTCAAGGACTTTATTGATCCAATTACGAAGACGTGGAAGAGTGAGGAGGTGGCCGTTTGGTTTAATGCGGAGGAAACAAAGACTATTTTATCTATGCCTGTGAGTCGTCGGGGCTGCCCAGATAAATTGATATGGCACTTTACAAAGCCAGGTGACTATACGGTTAAATCAAGCTATAAACTTGCAGTGAACCTCCAGCGGAATGGCGAGCTTGGGCGGAAAGGTGAAGGAGAGAGTAGTAATTCGACCAGGAAAAATATGTTTTTGGAAAGGAATTTGGAGTTTAAAAGTGCCCCCAAAATTACGATCTTTCATGTGGAGAGGGTGCCTAAACTCTCTGGCTGTACATGACAACCTGTGTCGTCAGCATATGACAGTGGACAATAAATGTAGGATATGCGGCAAGGATGGTGAGTCTCAGTTGCATTTGTTTTGTCAGTGTGAGTTTGCACTTGCCTTGTGGTATGCTTGCTCTCTGCAATTGGATGCTACTACTATAGTGGGTACCGATTTTGCTTCATACTGGGCTTATCTTGAGGAAAAATATAAAACTGGTGCACAATCGTGGGAGATACTACAGATTTTGATCTATGGCCAGTGGCGAATCTAGAAATGCCGTAATGAGGCGATATTCTAAGGAAAGGAGGCCAATCCCTACGCTGCAATTGCACTGATGGTGGGGCAAATGGAGGAATATCGTATAGCGGTTCCAATTCAGGCTCTCCTTGTGAATGAATTACCGAGACCTCCCGATCTGTGTAAGGTTGCACAGACCTTATGGCAAAAACCCAAGCACGGAATGGTCAAAGCAAATTGTGATGGTGTCTGGTTTGAGCAAACTATGCGGGGAGGTTTTGGATGGGTGATTCGGGACTTTACAAGTTGGATGATGCAAGCGGGTGGTCAAGGAGATATGCTTTATGGGTCGGCTCTCATGGCAGAGATGGACGCTATAAGTGTTATAAAAAATATATACAAAATATAGTTTTTCTTTTCCATAAAGCCAAACACAAAGCATTATATTATAAATAATGTTATAATAAATAAATAAGAAAGCTTTTAAGGTATAATGAAATTGAAGAAAACAAAATAATAGGTAAGTAAAAGGAAAATAAATAATAAGTAAGAAGGTGAGTTTGGTACGGTGAAGCACGTCAAAGACGCTGTCCTAAAGCCTTTGTAGCCTCCCTACGTGCAGGTACTGACGGTCTACAAGACTCCAAGATACGACCCCTTGTACACAAACTCAAGATCCGCTATGAGCACGTTCATAGACGGATATGGGTATCCAAGTCACAGAACCATTGCCAAAATAATAATATAAAGTAGAGAATATATATAAAAGTAGAAAAGGAGAGAATCAGTTTATGGTGGTGATTGTGGTATGTGATATTCTGATGGTGTAATGTGTGTGTTTCAAATGTGAAGGAGGAGTGGCCTTTTATAGGCATCCAAAAACAAGTAACCTTCACCAATCATAAAAGTTCACCAACCAAAAATTAAGGCATTCACCAACCAGAAATAAAAACATGAATATTAAATATTTATAACCCCCACAATAAATCAAATAAAATAGCCAAAATAATTAATTAAATAAAACGGTTAAATTTTTAAAACCTTTTAAAATTCCAA